CATTATAAGGTACGTTAATCCCACAATTCGTTGATAAAAGAGTAGTCCAAGAGTTGGCGGTGGGTGGTGATGACTAGCTGCCTTCCCTCTAGTCTTACATTACTAAATTAGGGACGGCTAGCGCAGAAAACCCTCGTGTAGCTTTGCGCGAAATTAAAAAAACAAACAAACAAACAACTTTTGGCTGTGAGAGCGTTATAAATGTGACAGTCACCCCGCTACTTGATTAAGAGTAGTTGTGTAGGCAGTGTATCTGCTGCAACTGTTGTTCTCTCTTATTAGCAGTTTTAAATTGGGGATGGCTATTGTTGAAAATACCAAATACACAAATAAACATGCTCGTTATACAAGATATTTAAAGTCTTAAATGAACAGCGTACTTCTAATTGTGAATATTTAAGTAGGTAGAAACATTAATGTTTAGTTAATAATCCACTGAAAATATATTTTATTACATAACGGAAAGCAAGTGTTTTTTTCTTTTTTCTTCACTATATTATATAGGCAGAGAAGAAAGGAGCGACACCTGCCGAGTATGGATTAGTTTTCGGAATTTACCAGCTAACTGTACTATTAGCCTCTCCAGTTTTCGGGCAACTTGTAAGTACTTCTGGTTTTGATTGTTCATTCTTGTCCTCTTGTTCTAGATGGTGGGGGACCACTTGAAGTGATAAATTTAATAATGTATAAGTGTTTTAATTCAGCTATTTGGATTTTTTTTTCTAAAGACTATAAATATATATCATGATCTTTATATTGTCTACAAGTCAATCTTCTACTGTGTCTTATAACACAGTTATATAACATGGCTATGTTTTTCGCAGACCTTAATTGGGTCATTGTGCCTGGGTTTTAGCCATGATTCCTCGATGCTTAAAGCAGCTATAACTCCATGTCTTAGTTTCATAGATGCAGGCTTGGGAAATTATACAGGGAACGTTCTTACGATGTCACTGGAGTTTTGTTGGTTGAGAATATGTCCTTTATGGATCTTAGTATCAGGTTGTACGAAGAAGGATAACAACATTCAGATGAAACAGTGAAGTTGATCATAACGAGGTATTTCAATATTTAAACTTTATCAAAGGCAGAGAATGTTAATACAGCGTAGGGCCTATTCAAGAACGACCAGACGCCATAAAGTTATATCCAGGTGCTTTGTTGTTTTTTAAAATTTTAAACGGTGATATTTAACTTTTTTTTTTACGAGATGATTGAGAAGGTACGAATAAAGTTTGTTTGTAATTAAGCACAAAGCTACACAATGGGCTATCTGTGCTCTGCCCACCGTGGGTATCGAAACCCGGTTTCTAGCGTTGTAAATCCGCAGACATACCGCTGTGCCACTGGGGTGGGGCAGGAATAAAGTATATATATATTTGTTTGTTTGTAATTTGTGCCATCTGGTTTTTAGACATTTGTCTTTCGATCTCTGTACGTTTTGAGTTTCCTCTCCTTCCTCCATATGGTGATGACACCTGTCCGATATTGGTTAAGTGATTTATATATTGATGTCCATAAGTAAAGCTTAGACAGATAAAAACAAAATTTCTGTAACTCACAACTGGTCAAAAGATTTAAAACAAAAATCAACTGAAAGACGAAATTCTGAGCTAAGGCCCCGGCTGTGTAATAGAAATGATTGTTAGGGCGTGTTATGTCAAGATCTTGACAATAACATCAGTTTTATTTTACTCTTCCTGTCTACAACATCAGAAAGTTAAGTGAGATAGTAGCATTAAAACATTTGTCAATTATGTAGCACGACCCCAAGCTTCTCTCTTTGTTAATCGTATATTGCTGTACTTGTAAAGGCATGTCAGCTATTTTACACAAATTACAATCAGATTTGCCGAGGTTTGTAAAACAAAATAAGAATCCAAAATTGAGTTGATGTGTTTCGTCTTGTGATTATATCTTCCCGCCAATCTCTCTCTCTGTCTCAATGCTTTTGTCTTGATTTTTGGAGTTAAAAATTATTCTTTGTGTAACTGGCTTCAAAAATCGTAAAGAGGTTCCTAAAATTTTCTCAAGATGAATAATATAACCATTTAATAAAAACCCATGAAAACAGAGCAGTAGTCTCGACAGGAAGATTAACTACTAATGAATTTATATCAAACAAGTTTGTAGTTAAGCACAAAGCTACACAAAGGGCTATCTGTGCTCTGCCCATCACGGATATCGAAACCCGGTTTCTAGCGTTGTAAGTCCGCAGACATACCGCTGTGCCACT